TAGCAGTATAAACAAAATTGCACTTCATCGATTCCCTAAAAAAAACTCGGTTTCTTCATAAATCCATAGTGGACAAGCTGGCAATCACACATAAGTAAATAACATGACTGAGTTAACACAAGAAAAAAGTCCATTTTACTACCCTGAACAAAATTGGTGGTTCACATTACCCCTTAATCTATTTTTCTGCTCCTTTCACCCCCTAAACAATCCCAAAGCGGACAAAAATCATCCCTGGCTGGTTTGCCCGCTGGTCAAAGGTTGTATTTGACCAGTAGGCCCAAGGCACACACCCCACTGAACCCTAAATCCTCGCCCCTGTGCCCCATCGGCCATGGCCGCCGCCGGCTAAGGGCAACCGCCCCTGTGCCCTGGTTCACCAGCTCCCTCGTCCTCCCGCGGGACACCGGATCTATGCTGTCGGCACGTGCCTCAGCTCGCCTACTCGAGCCCCGTCGCCGGAGCGCCGCCCTGCTCCACTGGCCCGCCGACCCTACCACCTAGATGTCGCCCTGCTCGCGGCGCCGGCCCTTGCTGCCGCCTCCACGCCCATGGCCGGCCGCCTCTGGTCGACGGGAGGCTACGCCCTCTGCAGCCGCCATGACCGCTGCCCCGAGCTCCTCTGCGCACGGCTGCACCAGAGCACCACTGCGTCGATGCGTCGCCATTGAGGCCCTCCACGCCGGCGACCTCTACGCCCAGCGCTGCTCCGTCGCCAGCCGCTGCAGCACCTCCCCGCCATCCGTGCCCTTAGCTCCGTCGTGCTCCGGTTAGCCACCGGCTAAACCTATCATTAGTAATTAGTTAATCCACCCCCTGAGTCACTACCAAGTGGGTCCCACTGCCTAATTAACTGCAGGCTAATTTCCTATTTCAGTTAAGTTCATCCTCGTGGCCCCACCCGCAGGTCAAAACCACCATTGACCAGCGCCACGTCAGCTGCAAGTTGAGACAAACCACCCAGGGGGGTCTTTTGTCCGGTATGGGTTTGTCTAGGGGGTGAAAAGAGCAGAAAAATATATCAGGGGGTAATGTGAACCACCAACTTTGTTCAGGGTAGTAAAATGAACTTTTTTCTTAACACAACGGATAGGGCATGACATGAAGTAGCCAAGGGGTAAGCGCAAAAAGCAGTTCTCATTATTGCAACTAAGAAGTGCTAAGAACAGCAGCTCCAAGTCTCTAGTATAGCACTTCGTAGGTGCAATCTGCAGCAACAACAGCAGCCCTGAGCCTTTCACTCTTGGTGATCATTGGGATAGAGATTCATGTTAGGTTATTGGGCATATGCCCCCAGGCACAGAATTATAGCGATGCCCTACCCATGGCCACAAAAAGTATCTAAACCCTGACCACGGGCAAAATTGCAAGAAAAGTGAGGACCTATGTCATCGGTGCCTGTGCTGGGGAAAGCGGTTGCTGCTTGCCCCAATCAGACATGGGGCAAATAGTCACAGGAGTAGCGGACATGGGCATGCTCAACAGGTTGATAAGATCATATCATCACTGTTGTCCACTGAGGCAACGTTATAACTCCAGCATATACATTTGGATAACTTCCTAACTATGAAAATCACCTGCGGGCGACGTGCTAACTCCACAAGGAACATGTGGCATAAATTTCATTGCATTTATTCTAAACAGTCAATAAATAAATAAATGTCAAGAACACTATTTCATTCTAAAATAAACTACCTCTAGATTCATAATAAAGTAAACTTAAGAGCAGACACAGAGGAAAAAGAATCCAGGAAAATAAATGCATAAAAGCAGAATGCGTAGGACCATAGATACTCTCGCCTGCCTATTTTAGGGCGTTGATCGTTAATTTTGGGAGTTGACACTACTGTTGTCAGCCAAGTTATTTACTTATTTTACCACGGGCATCATTTGCTCATAATGATAACAAGTCAACAGTAATAATAACTTGCAATTCTCAACTACACCTGCACCTGGACACCTTGATTTATAAAAAAGTGAGTAAATCCAACCAAGACTGGATATATAGAACCATAGCAAACATACCATCATCAGTTAATAAAACAGGTAATATCCAGAGTACAGATAAAATGACCGACTTCAAGTTTTCTTATTCCTCTTACTAGTCAAGCCCCTTCTAGCCGAGAGAGCTCACCTTATTGCCTACCAAAACAGGAGGCCACGCCATGATGTAGGGATATGAAGAATCAGAGTTGGTGATAGGGCAGACCTCCTTCAGCTCCTCTGTTTCAATGCAGAATGATAGGAAGCAGCCAGAAGAACTAGGATGCTCTACCTGGAAAGTAGACAGATACACAATGCCACCGATGATGGCCACGACCTCCAGTCTTGGGAAACGATCTACAAACTGTAGCCGGAGCTTGTCGATGTCGTCCACCAACTCAAATGTCCTGTTCAGTATCCATTTATCGACACCATTGTCATCTGCTCTCCGGAAGCAGACATCAAGAGTGAGTTCAGATGCGCAGGCCAAGCAGAGCTTCCCATCACTGGTCTGACCGACCTTGAGACCCATTCGCCGCATACGCCGCGGCAGAACCATCCGGGAGAATTGCAGTGTTGCCGTGTTCAGCAGATGAATAGCGTCTTCGCTTACGGATGCCCAGTAGACACACCCGTTCACTAGCGTACCACTGTCATCGTCCTGCAGCTGCAGGCGCGCCCCTTTTGGGGAGATCTGCCACTCCCTGGTGTCCAGCGAGAAGACGGCGACCCGCACTTTCCCCCTTTCCTTGCAGACGAAGACGACGCGGAGTGACCGGCGGTCCTCTTCCGAGGTGATCACGTGGAACTCGACTTCCGCCTCTTCGGGGTCTTCGCAGATCTCAACGGGCGGCGCGGGGAGGAGATGCAGGCTCCGTGTGAGGGGGTCGTAGACAGCCGCCCGCTTGGTTCCCCGGTTGACGAGAACCACGTACCCATCGCGACACCCGGTCATCGACCACCCGGCTCTGTCGCCTTCGCCTCCGTAATACCCGGACCACCCGAGGCTGTCGCTTTCCCCGTCGTCCTCATCGTCGGACCCTTCGTCTTCATCGTCGGGGACGCGGGTGAGGAAGACGTCGGCGCCGCGGACGGCGGCAGCGTGGTCCGGGTCGGACCAGCGGCGGATGGGCACGAAGGCGGGCATGCCGGGGTCGTAGACGTCGAGGAAGACGCCTAGGAGCGGGGCGGGGTGAAGATCGCGGAAGCGGCGGCGGAATTTCGGGGACGAACGGACGGCGCGGAGGAAGGCGGGGCAGGTGAGGGCGGCGCGGACGAGGGTCGGGAGGGAGGGCAGGCGGAGGAACACCTCGCACAGGAGGTCGTCGCCGAGGGAGCATATGGTGGTGGGGCCGGATTTCTTCTTGGACGGTGGGAGCTCACCGGAGGCCATGGCGATGGATCGTCGGCGGCGGCAGTTCACGGGAGGGCACGGGAAAGGGTTAGGGGAGGGTTATGGAAGAGTCTGGCGCGGGCCGCCGTCACTATGTCCACAAGGAATGTGAGCAATCGGCCCAACATTCAAAGAGGGCTCGAGCTTGTTGAAAATTTGGGCTTACACTAAAATCATTGTTGAATCGGACTCGCTCGATGTAACCCAATAAGCAACAAAAAATTCACACGGCCCAGAAGCAAAAAAAAAACAGTATCAATCAATCTCTTATATTCGGTAACCAATAAAACAGAGTAATCATAGACACATACCTATTTTATTAGTTTAAGAAATAGCTAGAAAAACTATACTTTATAAGCAAAACATAATCTTATTTTGTCTATTTGCTTTGCATCAAGATTTGTCCCGTATGGTCCTTGTATTTTCTTAAAAAAAATATTTGGCCTCGTGGCAACGCAGGGGCACATACCTAGTTGCAACTAAAATACATATTTTTTTGTATAGTTCTAAAATGTTTAGTAAGATAAGTAGCATGCATGGTGCATGTTAAGGTGGGTATTTTCTCGTGCATGGTGGCTCGATGAGTTGTCATAGTTGCATGTTATCATAATTAGAGATAATGGGAATCAACTACTTAGTTATACTAGAGATGATACCCGCGCATTGTTGTGGGAATCGGATGCAGTAATTTCTATGAGATTCAGTGGGTTGAAACATTAGTGTTTTGATTAGCCATATGAGAATTGATACTCGAGCACATATAATTTAATATATTTGATTATTTTATTGTTGTGGAAAAATATGTAATACATTATAATTAACATGCATGATTCATGTGAAGGTGGGTTTTTTCCCATGCATAGTAGCATAGTGAGTTGGCATAGTTGAATGTTTAGAGAACTAAATTTTATAGGGCATGCATGGTGGCATAGTTGCATGTCAAGATAATCGAGTTGGTGGGTTTTTTCATGCATAGTGACATAGTGAGTTGACATAGTTGCATGGCGAGAGAATTAAATTTTATGCGGCATGTATGGTGACATGATGAGTTGACATGGTTGCGTGTCAAGATAATTGAGTTGGTGAGGATATATATATATATATATATATATATATATATATATATATATATATATATAGGTAAAATGTTTAGGGCACCTAGGTGCCTGAGCACCTTGATGCCCGTTATGGCAAGTGATATTCATGGTGCATGATGTACAATCCATGACATTTGACTTTCCAAATTTTGTTTTCGTGCGCTATAAATTTTAATAGGCAGTAATTGCTTTCCAAAAATATATACTACTGATTTCTTTGCAATGATTCCTTTCCAAACAAAAAGGGTATGTATATACGCTCTAATTTTTAAGGTATCCAATATGACCAAACTATACGAAATATCGTCGCAAATGTTTGTATGTATAATTACGACGTATATTATGCATTTTTCTGATGTTTTACTTTTCATGGTATCTAGTATTAAAAAAAGTTAAGGCCAGTTCACACTTTTACCAACTAATATTTCTATACAAAATAAGGCGAACAAATAATATAAATGTGATCCTAATTATTTTTACTTTTAGGAATATATGATGCATGCTGATACCGACACATGATTTTTTTTCCTACGTACATATATATATCCACGCACAATTCTTTTTAGTCTAAGTAATGTGCGATTGCATACCAATACTCACACACGGTTTTTTCGTACGTACATGGACGTAAGATATCATACCCGTAAACTCTTTTCCAATACATGCATGCTTTGGAGATATACACAAAACTGATATACTTTGAATGGTACATAACCCAAAAAATGATACACTATTTTTTAACACACGTAAAATATTTTGAGATATACCCATAAATGATATTGGGGATATACCCAGAAATAGTATAATTTACGTATACGTAAGATCTTGACTAGGTATATGAAAAAGTTAGTACTTGACTAGGTATACAATTTTTATAGGTATATGAATTAGTACGTGACTAGGTATATGAATTAGTACATGACTAGATATATACAAATACCGAAGATATTGTACGCACAAACTAATTTTTTAATACATACATATGCCTTAAAGACATACCTATAAATAATATATTAGAAAAAGTATAATACATCAATAAAGTGCATGTATCATGCATGGATCATTAATTGCTAATTTTCTCTTTCTTGTTTAATGAGGGCATTAAGTGTCCATATCAAGCAATAATTCTTTTCTAATGACAGAGTCAACGTTTAAGGCATTAGTTCTAGTACTAATACAAGTGCACACATCTTAGTGTAATCCGACGGTTTGTAGGCAAGGTGCCCATGCACCTAGGTGTCCCA